CACAAGCCAATACACCCGCCCATCGCATACCGTCTCAACGACTCGAAGTTTCGAGTGTTTGGCTACCCACGACTGTCAAATTGCCTCGTAGCAACTCGTTCCGCAAAATTTCTTCCATAAAGGTCACAAAATTAGGCTCTGCTGGCAAAATGTAGGTTATTACAACGGCCTTGAGTGTATATAACACTGAATGTATAATTTAATGATTCTCAGAAGTCTACACCCATATATTCCCATAACTAACTAGATTTAGTTGCAAGCCATGCTCACATCCGTTCGATGCTCTCAGACAACATGGCTTGTGCAAGCCATTTTGCTCGCAGCAACTTGGGGGCCGAAATAAAATGAAATAAATTATTATTTGTAGTTCAGTGACTCTATATAACAATGTCAATAGCAATATAATGATTTCCAAAGGTTGAATCGAAAAAAACTCTACCCACGCCCGGCACAAGCCACTTTGTCACCAGAATGGCTTGTGATGGCATTTGACATGTTCCACTTTTCTCAACCTGGTGCCAATCCACCAAGATCTTACTGTAACATGCTAGGATGAGGTAAATGGGATATGACTGGCATGGTTTTGTCCTTGTTACGACACGGATTCCTTGACGTCTAGTAACAAGCCCGCCCACGCCCATTTTGATGGCATCAGACAGAATGGCTTGCGCACGCCACTTTGTTGCCGAAGGAAAATAATGATATCCTGGCACATCCTGGGTCTCCGAATGCCACAGATCATTCATATGTATTCCTTGGGGTAATTTACATCAAAGGATTGAGTATTTACACACATTTGGTCGAAGGCCCCGGCTTAACCGATGTCAGCTAACAAGAATCACAATCCAGACCGAATGCACAAGGGTTAATTCACCTCTGCTGCAGTGTACAAAGCGTACTCGTGAACGAATTTGGTCAAATTTTAATTTGAGGTACTAGAAAACTTGTGTGGTTCAAAAGTCCGGTGAGTTGAACACTGCTTTTGCGAATAATCTGGCGCGGTGGACATTTCTTCCAATATTTCCAATGCAGGTGGACACTGGGAAGCATCACCTATCAGTGAATCCTCACAAGCCCCCTGGCTTTCATGTGGAGTATGAGTTGCCCTCATCATTTTTCATGGTGACGACGAGTATTCCCCCAATATCAAAAGTATGTGACAATTGATGTCCTAGGTACCTGGAGGGGACATATAGTAATGTCTCTGCCACATAACATTTAATGCTAGGGCTCTACATGATGTACAGTGAACACAAGCCACTCTGGTTTTTTGGCTGGGACGGAGTTGGCGGAATGGCTTGCCAAGCCATCAAAATGGCTTGCAAGCCGATCGGCCGGGCGTGGGCGGGTGATCACACCCAAATCCACGCCCCCACCCTAAACAAGCCATTCCGCGCGGGCGCAAGCCATTCGGCCAAGCCAAAAATGTCACTCTCAACAGGTTCAGACTCAAACACTTTGAATCCGTTGATGAAGTGAATAACTTATGTATGTGATACTTTCAGCAGGGTTGAAATGCCAAGTTTTATTTTCGACTGACCTGAAAGTGTTGATGGATTCAACAGTTTTAGAAGCAGTTTCATGTAACCACTGAGAAGCTAGTGAATTCGGCCTACCCGAATATGTGTCTGAAAATAATAGGTTCGACGACTGTTTCGGCTGCGCTGAAACTTTCTGGTAGTTTGAAATTTTCGCAGCGGTCCGAAGATGAGCGTCCAAACGGGGTGTGTGCGTTATTTTCCTATGACGGGAAAATCTGACTGTTACGACAACCTGATCTTTTGCGGTAAATTGGCAGGAGGTAGCCAGCTCAATTCTGAAAAAAACTGTCTGTTCAGAATTTCTGTAGCTGTCCTCTTTTTTCTGCCCGGGGCCGATCTCAGGCTCCCGTATTAACTGCCGCTGGGTGATCATGAGCATTTGCGGTTTTAAGAATTCGATGTCGAACCCAGCTGTGAGCGCACGAGTCGTCTGTCACAGCTCGCGGGAAATCGACGCACCGCTCCGTCTCCACGCTCTCAGGCTAATTCGTCTGTCTACCTATGGACCTCGCCACTGCCACCGGAAGAATGCATACGCATCGAGGAATTCGAAGTCGGACTCGGACTTGGTGTCACTGTAAGTATCGCGTTGCAACACACCCGTTGAATCCAAGCGACTAGATCGACACTGTACTGTATCAGAACCTAGACGAAATGCCCCTTGGCTCGATGAGTCACACTCCCAATCCCAGTCCCAGCGTCCGAATACTGACGCAACCACTCGTCGGAACCATCTTTTTCTCAGTTGCATGTACATCGAAATCATCTCTCCAGCAGTATGCATGCATGTTCGGCAAGTATATTCAATGTCGTCCCCTCGGCCCAACTTCGAGTACTAGTTTGCCTTCCCACGGACGACGTTGCGGCCGCGGAGAGTCGCCCTTGTCATTGACAGGGAGCACCGCAGCATACTATGTTTTTTTTTCGTTCACGCGCTCATTAAGGGTCGCTTAGCGCTTGTTATCAACTAATTGCGGGATCTATATCCACCAGATTCCAGGTGCCTGGCGTCTACGGTCTACCGCCGCGGGTCTTGGCGCTTATCTGCGCGAGAAGCGCGGGGTGTGGGTGAGATACTTGTTTGCCGAGAAGCCGAATTCAGCCGAATTCTCACGGTTCGATGCCGCCAGTTCACTCGCTGGAGATGTACGTGGATATAAAGCCCATTCCTTCCTTTGTTCTGTCTTATCTGTGTCTGCGTATCACCTTCCACTCCCCCGTGCCCATCGATCTAGGCATTTAAGTACCTTGTATGTTGTCAGTACGTACAGTACAGCCAAGGAAAGCATGTTTAATGTCGTCCCCTCGGCCCGACTTCGAGTTTGCCTTCCCACTGACGACGTTGCGGCCACGGTGGATTGCCCTTGTTAGGGAGCACGTATTGCCCTTGTTGAAAAGCACCGTCGCATACTTATCTTTTTCATTCACGCTCTCATTAATGGTCGCTCAACGCTTATTATCAGCCAGTCTTGGGACCTGTGATCACCTATCCCTGGCGTCTATTCATGTATGTCACCAAGGGTGTCAGCGTGAGTATATCCTTCAGAATCCAGGCGCCTGGCGTCAAACGTCTACCGCCGCGGGTCTTGGCGTTTATCTGCCAGCACCGCAACGTCGTTTAGGTTATCACCGTGGGTACCAACCGCGATATCTTTTCCCAATTAAAACTAAAACAGTGGGTTAGACTCTCGGCATGAAAGCTCGTTTACAGTACCTCCCCCGCTTGAAATAGGCTGAGGGAGTCGGATGTGGTGTACGGCGCACACCCGCTTTTCGTGTTTGTGTGGTTGCATCGAAAAAAATGAAAGCGGGAGGCCTGGGTTCGATTCCTAGCGTCTGAATAGAACATGTCTGAACGTTTTTATCAAAGCACGCCTCTGAATTATGTGTTTCCAACCGATGATTCATCTTTCGTAGGCAAAGCATCAACTGAATGCAATTTTCAGCTTCAACTTCAACTCTAGGGGGACTCTACTCATAGTACGTACACTGGTACCTCTTCAAAACTCGTCTATCTATCTCAGTTCATAATGGGTATTCTGTATCAGACCTGGTGTACAGTGTACCCCTGCGGCCTTCGCTTAACTTGGACAGGCACAGTACAAAGTGTAAGTGGGAGGTCTGTCCGATCCCCCGCGTCCGAATATGAGGAACCATTGCAACGACCTTTTTGTTCAATTCCTTCGCTGCTGTTATTCTCGAAGCCGCCTGAACCAGCGAAATATCTTCCTGGTACCCTTTCTCTTAGTTATCATGCGTCTCTAAACAAACTCCTGTAAGTATTTGAATAGTGGTTTCCGCAAGAGAAGACGCGTTCGATCCTTCACTGCTCATCGCGTCACTTGTGGCAGACATTTCGTAACAAGGTGTGGATGGATTGGGTGTAATTGGTGCTTCCAGAAGGCAAATGCAAAAAGATGCGCGAAGTGAGTTCATCGTCCAGGTTACATAAGAATGGGAGGCGATTTTGACTCGAGAATGTAGATTTCTCGATCAGCGGGGCTGATCAATATTGCGCTTTGAATACATGGTGTGGTAAGCGGCGACCTTGAGTACGAAAAGCTCGGCGGCGATAGCAGCGATCACTGAGGTGCGGAAAAGGTTTTGTGGATGCATTTATATTTTTGCGCGTGTGTGCCGTTCCTGGTGCCGAGACTCTGAATCTGTAGAGCGATGGTCGGAGGGATTTGTACATGAACGCCGTTATGAGAAATTAAGGCGTATGAACACTGTGGAAAGTAAAGGTACTCCATGTGAGTACCCAGGTACTATTTACGCAAAAAAGGTACTCCCACTGAGTACCTCAATTAGTAGTACTTTTTTGGGTACTCTGTCGGAGTGCTCATCAGAGTACTACTCCCTGGGGTACTCCATCGGAGTGCCCTTCGAGGCACTACCTCTATGGGTACTCCATCTGAGTTCCCTTCGAGGCACTACTTTTTGGGGTACTTCATCTGAGTTCCCTTTGGGGCACTACTTTTGGGGGTACTTCATCTGATTTCCCTCGAGGCTACTTCTTCCGGGGTCCTACATATGAATTGTTGCCCAGAGAACATGAGAAATGCTGTTGGATCAGGATTATTTCGGTTGTCACTCCCCACACCAGCCCTCCGTCGGAGTGATTTTTAGGAATCAGACCGCCCATCCTCGGAGCTCGACCACAAAGTTTAGGATACCTTCAAAATTCTGTGTATTTCAGAATTTACAGAATCTGATTCAAACTCTGTCCATAGAGCTTGAGGTTGTAAATTGGGAAGAACACGACTCAAAAGATTTCGTCAACTCAAAGGTCGAAAATTCCTCGACATATGCAAACCATTGATTATACTTCAGAGTAGCATGATTTTAAATAGCCCATATGTAGGTAGATAAGTTAGACTGGCTGGAGGTAAAATAAAGACGTTCTTGGGACAATATGCGGAATTACCATATTGGGACCTTTATCCCCCTCTCTGTATTGGTTGTTTAGTCTAGTGGTATGTTGTTCTCCATTGCAATTTGGAGTGAATCCACGTGGTCCCTCGTTCGATTCCGGGAGGCAGCAGGTAATTTACTCCTGCGTACTGCATCCTCTTAAGTTCTATAATGAGCCATTCCTGAACCCTTGGCGTCAATACTGGTTCAGCAAGGTTGATTTTTCTTGCTTAAAACTACCAAAAAGAAACACTCAAATGGAGTGCTTAAAGCACTCACAACGAGTACCTCTGGGTACTCCCATTGAGTACCTGAGGTACTCACATGGAGACAGTTTTTTGCAGAAAAGCGCTCAGATTGAGTACCTGGAAGCACTACATTTGAGTACCTCACACACTCCATTTGAGTGCTTTCAGGGTACTCCATCTGAGTTCATTTACTTCCCACAGTGTGAAGCCACGTCGAGCAGACTGAAAAAGAAGGAAGGTAAGGTGCAAGCAAGACAAATTAGTTCCGAACGACGTGATTGGTTGGAGGAGCATGGCTTTGTGTGGTTAGGTTTGCTTCCAGGCCTTCAGCCACACAGCGGATTTTGCATGCTCCGAATCCGATCGCGCTTGGACCTCATCTCTGCCACAGCCAGGCGTCAACCACACAGAAATTATTCCCGTCTTAGAACAAATCTACCTTCGTTCCCACCCCACTATATTCCCTGCGAGCCCCTCAGGATGACGGACATCCCGAAAGCAAGAGCTCCCTCGCCCCCTTCAGAAGCCCCTGCTGCAAAGAAACCGCGATTGGACGCTCCGGAAGTGCCCGAGGCCGCTGCTTTGGCGTCTTCCGCTTCTAAGACCTCAGCTAAACCTCCCCCGAAAAAATCAAAGAGCCAAAAACGACGGGAGCAGCACAACTCGCTGCCCGAGGCTTGTTCTTCCGACGACGTATTGTGGCGCGAAATAAAAGAGGTCCTCGGCGCGGACTACGTTGATTCTGCCGTCGCCGAGGGGACGGACAAGCAGTCGCCTTTCCAGTATCACCAGGAGCTGGAGATGCAGGTGGTCGCCATATGCTCGACGGGTGTGTCATTCTCCCGGAGATAGAGCTACAGTCAAGCTGAATATTTCTAGGTAGCGCATTGGCCACATCTTCCGAGGCTAGCCGTCCCTGGGTCGTCGTGGTGCCGTTCTGCCTTCCGGGTGAGACGGTACGGGTGCGAGTGTTCCGGAACGCGCGCATGCACTCCCAGGCAGACCTCATCGAAGTCGTCACCCCCAACCCCGAGCTCCGAGACGACAGCCTGGTGAAATGTAAATATTTCGGGAGCTGTGCTGGGTGCCAGTATCAGGTACACTCCGTTCAATTCTTGGCTGCTTGGAATGATTTTTTGTGTACTCGTTCGTCTAGATGCTATCCTATGAAAAGCAGCTGGATCTCAAGCGGGACGTCGTCGTCAAAGCTTACAGTAACTTTTCAGGCGAGTGATCCTCTCATTGTGCGGCGCTGTCGCCTGACCCTCTCGGCGCAGATCTGTCGCAATCTGAGCTTCCACCGATAGAGTCTACTATGCCCTCGCCGAAACAATACGATTACCGTACCAAAATCACGCCGCACTTCGATGCGCCGACAAAAGTCCAGCGGAGCAACTCGAGCAATCCCAAAAACAACACCGACAAGCCTGAGTGGTTTAATATCGGGTTTAACCGTGTGGGGACGCATAAAGTCATGGATATCGAGGTGCGCGCTCGCGGTACTGTCTGTTTTTCAGCTCATCAAGACCATCTGTGCTCAGGATTGTCCCATCGCGACACCTATAATCCGGCAAACGCTCCCCATAGTGCGGGCAAACGCTATCAAGTAAGTTTGAGGGGCCACCATTGACGTCTTTCGCTTTACTGAGGTCTTTTTCTCAGAAATCTATACACATATAAACGTGGCGTCTCCCTCATACTCCGTGATTCCCTCCCGCCCACACCCACCACAACCCCGACCCGGACCGCGGAGCCCGCTACCGACGTTGACGTCCTTTCCCGCGACCTGGAAACAACGCACATCTGCATCACAGACCACCGCGGGCACGTCCGCGAGCGCGTAGGGTCCCTCCTTTTCGAATACCCCAATGGATCGTTCTTCCAGAACAACAACTCCGTGCTGCCCTCCCTCACTGCGTACGTGCAGTCCCGCATCTTTGCCTCGTCCGTGTCTACGGAAGGGAAAGCTCCGACACACCTTGCCGACGCGTACTGCGGTGCGGGCCTCTTCGCAATCTCGCTGGCCCCTGCGTTTACGCGCGTCGCGGGTATCGAGCTCTCCGCCGACTCCATCAAGGCCGCCACGCGTAATGCCGCGCTCAACGGACTCCCCCCGCCCGCGCCCTCCCTGGAGAACAAAAACGCGGAGATCTCCTTCCGCGCAGGCGACGCGGCGGACATCTTCCGTGCCGTCGCGGACTTTCCCCCGCAGCAGACTGTGCTGGTGATCGATCCGCCGCGCAAGGGGTGCGATGGCCCGTTCATTGAACAGCTGCTGCAGTTTGGGTGTCAGACGGTGGTGTATGTGAGCTGTAATGTCCATACGCAGGCGCGGGATGTGGGGATGATTGTTCGGGGAAAGGTTGGGAAGGGTGGAGAAGGTACGGGGAGGTACATGCTGGAGAGCGTGAGGGGCTTTGATTTGTTTCCGCAGACGGCGCATGTGGAGAGTGTCGCGGTGCTGCGGCTTGTGGGGGATGGTGAGGCAGCGGCGTAAGATGACTGTTTTCTTGATTCACGAATGGGTGTGTTGCGTGCTCTGAAATCATCATACATACCAGTCCCAGTCGACGTCTCCAAAAAGTTGTTCGCTGTGAGTCAGGCTCATGAGGGGGGCTTCTGAACGTTTGTGTTGTTCCTATCACGGAACTGCAAAATGACAAATCGAAATTTAAAGCGCCACGTCCCTTCAAGTCGCATTTTGGTTGAATTTTACATTTCAACTAAACACGTGAGTATTTAAACACCCGAACAGCTTTTGATGCCCAATCCAGAGAAAAAATGAAGCATAATTCAAAAAACCAACGAACGAAAAATCTCTACTTACTTCTCCCAAACTTCTCCGTCAATCGGTTTTTTACGTGTCCAATAATTCTTAGTGCGAGGGTGCAATTTGTGCAAACCTTCCGCAAAAAAAAAATGATGCGCCACACAGTGGCAAATCTTAGCTTCACCAGGAAGATATTAGAATGCCTTACGGTCGAGGTGAATATCTCGTCTCATCAGGCATCTCCTGCGATTATTTCTGTACTCCCTCATCCGGAAGCTGTATCTGATGATTACCAATCGCCGTCGTAAACAGGTGACAGATCGCCGCCTTACTGGCGCTCCGTTGGCGCTTGAGCGCTTCTCACCTCCAGCACCCACAAGTTAGTGTCAGCGTCCGGAACAGTACCCCCTCAAGGCCTCAACAATGCCCGACGGTCCCGACCACCTCCCCCCTGTGCTGTTGGCACTTCCGTTCGATGGCAGTAAGTTGCGCCTGCTCTATTGCCTTCTCACGGAGTGTACATACCTGGAGGCTCCAGTAGTAGCCTCCAAAATTCAAAGCCGTCCATCTCACACTCGTACTTTTTCAGTCTCCAGAAGATTATCAAATTTTTTCACGCAAGCAGTGGAGAATGGTAACGTCCTGTCCTCGTTCGCTCTGTTTCAGCGGTGCCGTAGGCTTTACACCCCTTCAACGAGTGTGCTCTCTCTAACTTCTACCGCACTCAGCAAAGGACACATTTCAAGACGCGCCCCTTAGGTGGCTACAGAACATATCCATGTCCGCCTTTGAGTGGGTTCAGGGCCACGATACTCTGAGTGATCTCCTGCATCACCTGGCAGGGATCGCCGCTTCATATCTTCTGCATGCATTCAAGGCTTTTGTAAAGTGGAATCGCCAGAAACTCCCAATTATTGCCGCTTGGCTCTTGCGGACGGATGTGGGTAAAGTATTGGAGCTCAGTATGTTGCCATGATTATGAATCACACGTCGGAATCAACTGACCTCCTTGCTCAGCGAGAGCAAATCGGAAAACCGTTCTCATCGCCTCCGCGCTCGTTTTCATGGCCCCAGGCCTTCTTCTGCTTCCGGTCGTCATTCTGAGGGCGCTGGGTTTTGGATTCCTGGGTATTAGACAGGGTCAGTGAACTGCCTTGAACACCTTATAGCGTAAACCTCCTCACTCCGGATACTACAGGATCCCCGGCCGCAGCGTACCAGAGCCGCGTCTATAGGGGGCGTACCCCCGCGTATTCTCCGTTCTCCGGAATGCAGTCCGCCGGGATGAAAATGAGCCCTGAGATGGAATTGGTGCTCAACGCAATTAGCCTGTCGGCCGGGCTGTTGTTCGTGTTTGCGTGGAATTTGGAGTAATCTTCAGCTGGAAGGAAGGCGGCTTCCCATGTACACCGCATTAATTATGTAACACCACTTTGAATCATGCGGCGTTTCGCTTCGTGGGCTTGAGGGAGGTACAATGGAGTGGCGGTTATAGTTTCTTTTTCATATACATAAAAACAAGAAATCGTATAAAATGCGTCCCACTGATTCAGAAATAGATCCCGAAATTGTCTCTGGATTGTACGATGCTAGAGAGCCGTTGCTACCGCTTTTCCGACAAGCCGCGGGAAGTCGGAACAAAAGCCAATGCCATCGGGTCATCCCGGTTTCCCAACTTGTGATCGTGACTTGATCGTGACCGAATCTGATGTCGCATCACAAGACTTTTTCTGCTCATGTCCTCCACTGCGTCGGAGTCCGCAGAAACTCGAGTGTTCTGTAATACCTGTGGTCAAACTCCCTTCAATGGCTCGCGCCTTCTCCCTGGCCCCGAACAAATCACACAGCTCCGAGATATCCTCCGCTCGAACGTCTCGCCCTCCCAGCCGTCTGCTCTTTTCCATCACGTCCAAGGCGAATCACCGGCCGACCTTGCGCGATACGACGCTGAAATAGAGAGAGTGCGGGCAACCCTTTCTCGCTTGATCTCTGAAAGAACAGAACTGGAATCCTATGCAAATGGATGCCGGAGCGTCTTTTCGCCCGTCCGACGTCTTCCCACAGAAGTACTGGTCGAGATCTTCGACATGTGTACCCCACCAGAAGCAGATC